GAGAGTAAGATGAAATTAGAAATGATTTATATAGATATTTGATAAAATGATATTTTCTTATCGAAAATTATATATACCTGTGCTATATTCATATCAGAGTCGTGCTCAAGGTGCAATGAATACAAAAAGCAACGGCATGGGAGGGAGAGCTGTGGCAGCAATGACCATAGTGCAGAATATCTTGGTACAGTTTACAACTTCAATGCTATGTTTTATGACATGTGCTGAATTTTGCATATTAATTACCCTTGTGACAGAACGATTAGTGGATATATTGGACAGTTAAATGGAGCTCATTGGAAACTCATTAGTGTTAAAATACGAGGTCGAAATTTGCATAGTCGTACGACCAAAAAACTTTCAATATGGTGACGTCCTTCTCGAGATTCCTGTTTCACTGAATTGGCAATAATATTTAAAAATCGTAAGCCATAACTGAACATTTTTAATAGATCGACATAACAAATCGTGAAATAACTATCTCTATTTTGCATGTTGGTAGTTTTGTTAGCAAAGTGAGGTAAAGAACTTTCATAATGGAAAATATTGAAAAGAATGAATCGTTAAAGATGCGTTTCCCGAGAAAAGTTATTTAATTTTGTACTTTACTCTTTTGAGTGGTTCCATGTACACTAATTTAAAGAATTGAAATTAAAAATGCACTGACTTATTAAATTCAGAAAAGTTCTTATATGCTGGAATACACACGCGTAAACAAATCACATTTATCTGAAACATATTTTGTTGAAGGTACATACTTTCTTATTTTCTTTTCGATAAAGCATTTTACAAATCTCATAATTGGAATTTGTTCATCACAATGGAAAGCAAATACACAGAGTATAATTGCGAGTGTCAAAACACACAAGCGTGTATTGCAAAATGGGATTAACAAATATTTATTACGATGTTGTACTTATAAACGATTAGTTACTGCACCATCAATTTGTCAGCTCATGTTCCAGAACATTCAGAAGCGTGTGGTTATGATGAGATGGTACGAGTATTGTTGCGCAGCATAAAATCTGCTTTTAGGAGATACAAAGACGAAAACCGTAAATTTGTGAATACATATATTAATTAGAATGGGAATAAAGATCAATCTATATCACCGTTATTTTAATGTCCACGACATTTGGCCTCCATGAAGTAAGTTTTGTGACGGCGTTGATATTGAGGCAACAAAATCATACAAATTACTGAAAACGCTTTCTGTGGATACCCATGCTGAGCATATTTGGTAAAGTACGGTAATTATTTATTGGTAATCTGGATTGGTATTTGTTAATTGGTATTTTTGGGGATGCAAATGAAGCAGCCGTATGAAATCATTACTAGGCGTTTTTTAAACTGTGAAAAACAGACTTCGACCATATATCAACGACAACATCCAACGAAACGATATTAATATTTCATCAAAACGTGACTACCAATGGGGGGACGAGGACACCAGTGCAGTTTGTTTTCTCTTTTTTATTTAAGGTCACATAAACAGCTAGGTCATAGCGACCACTATAAATCAACGATATGGTTAACAGTATGATGCGATACGGTGATGGTGAGGGGTGAAAGGACGAACACAAATACAACAATGCCAACCTTTAGACCGAGATCGCTACGGCACTACTGCCTTTACGATCTCGGCCGAAGGACGACTCCTCTATCTTTATTAATGTAAAAATTATTGCATCGTTTTTTAGGTCTTTTATTTTTAGAACCTTTCTTAACCTTAAGTGATAATTTCGACTTCCAACGTTTATCTGATGTTTACAAAAAAAATCGCAACCTTCCCCATGCCTAATCACTCCTTGGAAATTCCAGCGTTCTCTTACGGTCATAAAACGATGCTATCTACTTTTAATATCTCAGTCAATATAGATAACAGTTGTGCCATAAGAAAAACATTGCGAATTTGAACTGGTACTTCAAAAAACGGAAGTGGTTATCTGTGTCCCCAGGGAAAAGACATCAAAAAGAAAAAAAAATAATTTATGTCCTCACACATCAAGAACGGAAAATAATTTAACACAATCTAGCAGAAAACGATTTTAATATATTGTTAAATAAATGTACCGTTCGTTCTGAAATAAATAAATATTTTCTTTATTGATGTTGTAATTTATTCTGGGGTCTATCGTTGATCTCTTCCATTGGTGGTTCTCGGAGTACAGCAACGGCATTTATGTGTGACTGTTAGAAGAGCTCACGTGTCATTAAAGCGTCATTTAGTAAATGTGTACTCACCTAGGTGGCATGTGTAAGTAGGCCAATAAAATGAAATTGAAATGTCCCTTTATATTTGTTAAGTATTAAACGCAAGTTTGAAATACTAGCGTAAAACACCAACAGAACAAACATGATTAGATATCTGTATAGCCTACATCGGTGGCGCAGAGTCTTCGAGCTACAGCTGCGTGTTTGAGATCAGTGTACAACTTTAAATTTTTCACCATGGGATTGTGGTACGATTGGCCTCACTATGGAATCATAACCTTATCCATAATTAGTTTTTTCTCATCATCATTCACCCATCCATTTCTATCAGTGCTTATCCAGTGGAAGGCAATGACAAAACTCAAATGTAATCACATTCCCCGGATATGTGAGTGCATAAATGCGTAAGGGCGCTCCCTCACCTAACCTTGGCATTTGAGTGTGTAATCATCATCAACACAGCTAGAAGAGAATTCAATAAACTTAATTAAAGAGTGAAAAATGATTTTGGATACAAGAGTACATTAGTTAGTTATTTGAAAATATTGAAAAAAACACATAATCGTACGTGAATAAAATAAAGATTTCCTTTTAAATATTGGAATTTTGTAGATACGTCTGTGTATTCTAAAGAAGAAGAAAATTGTATCCATCAAAGTTATATTGAAAATTGCCATATATTAAGTTATACCACCATAAATAATACATACACACTTGTCTTCATCTTTTATATCAACTAAAACGCACCCATTGAAACCGTTTTAGGCAACCTTTTTCTTCAATACAAATACCTCTAATAGGGTCTCTTAATCGCCTCCATTCGCCATTCTAAGTTGAATAACTCTAACAAAATTATAATCACCGCTTCACACGGGAGGTGTAAAACCAGGCGGCAATGCGACTTTTGAATGATGTTAAATTCAGAGCTTCCACGAATTCGTGTGGGTCACAGCACAATGGACTGTTTTATTATATTGTTTTTGCCACCGTCGATACAATAGAAAGTCGGCAGCAAGATTCCTTTTTAAGTATCGAGATTTCCCTAATGTTGAGTCCCTCAAACGACCCCATAAACGGTTTTTGTAACTCCATTGAAGAACACACACACATCCACACACCAGGCAACATGTCCAGACCAGTGAACATATTCGGACGTTGTAAGGACACGAAAGGTTGAACAACTGTCTGGGTAGGTCACACTCCACAACATTGAGGTGCAAGTGCTAGATTGTTTCGAAGCTAAGTACGTACTCTGAAGAGGTCATTAGGACGGTAGTGGTGTTCTCTAATGACAGATACACAGAACGAGTGCTAGAGTGCCGACCTCGTCCATCAGATGACGTAGACATTTAATTACTTTAATAACATGATGCATTATACGTTTCATGCTTTCATTTTTAATCTCACCCAAAATGTTGTTTCTTCGGCTATAATGAGAGCGTAGCGCACTAAAAAGGTGCGTAACGTTTTCTAAAAAAAACTTAACCAAGTGGCCTAAATACGTTATGATGAATTAAGAACATGTTTACAAAACACACGGGGATCTTCCCCCGCGAGTTTTTCCCATCTGAATATAAATCTCTTGAAGTGGAAAAAAGCCTTTCTAAACTGGGTCACATCAGTGTTGTATGAAATTAAGCCGGATTACTTCAAAGCAACGCGAGGAGCGGGCCGGAAATCTCCGAGCACGGGCCTGATGACTTGCGTGATTAGGTGGTTCGCGTGACCCGCTGTTGTGATAGCACAAGGCCCAAACAGGCGGGGCCCACCAAGTAGCCGCCAAAAGAGGGAAGATGCGACTTAAAGAAAGAAAAATCACTGCATTCCGAGTCCCGGTGCAGTCAGGAAAGGGGAAATTTCCGAGAAGTATCCTGCGAGCTGGAAGTATTAATAACTAGCGCCACAGTGGGTGGGACTGTAATGGGGTTACACACGCACGACTTATATTCGATGCGGAATGATAAATATGTTGTGTGTCTTTGGATCCTATTCTACTCGTATTTTTCAAGTGGATAACATCTTGTGAAATGTGGAAATAATCTGCATTATCACAGTAGGTATTTCAATACTGAATTCGCCAATATCTCAAGGGATAAAGTAGAAACGAAAGAGAACAAATAGTATAATTTGTTTTATATTTTTATTTTTTTATTTCATAGTTTGTTGATTGATCAAGTTATAAAATAAATGTATTTAGTATATAATCTTGTGAATAAAATGATATGTTCTCTTTCTAAAAAAACGTTTTTTCATTATATTATTACATCATTTCACTGAACGTTATAGACCTTTTCAGAGCTTAAATAAAATAAATTATTATCCAATAGGTCTAAAATATCTACAATCTTATAATGATCTTACTTTATTGAAAGTTGAGACTTTTATCATATAAATGATCGATATGTATCGACGTACATTTACAATTACATTTTTTAATAACCTGTTTACAATTTTGTGGACATGTAATATCAGGGTTGCCAATGCAATTCTCACTTACAATCTCTAAAATTATTATTATTTCAAGAAAAATTTCCCCATATTTTGAAATTATTTTTAAGTTATTTAGAGTTTTCAACATTACCTAAAATCTAAAAATTAAAAAGCAAAGAGATTACATAATAAAATTAAATTAGTAATCATTAATATTACTATCGTACTGCATAAACTAGTGAATGCTTGGGTGTATTTTTTAAAATGATTGCACCTAATTGTATTAAGGGATTAATATAGGAGACGAAATAATACATACATTAGATACACAGAGTCATTATCTACTAAATATATTAAGTGGATGCTTTACGGAAGTGATTTATAGCTCGCAGCGACTCACCAGTTCTTCGGTGAGGGTTGAGAGTTCGAATTCTGCTCTGAGCATGGCCTTTTCTTTGTTTCATTCTTTTTTTTGTGCACGTTTGTCTAACGGTAGGTGCTCATTCCAGATCCAAATACCCAGCATCTGGATAGTCCACGTTGTGTTTCATTAAGTACCATAGTGGAAATTAGGGACGTTTGCTAAAAAACAGAAAATAATAATAGAAATTTTATGTAACCCCTCTCAGATACAGCAGGTAAGAACAGAACGGATAATAACCCTAATTAACCGCTTGTGAGGTGGTGGTTTTGCACATACAAATCTAGAATTCACTTTAATATCCACCAAAATGAATGTGAAATTACCAATGAGCGTAACTTTCTTGATTTGGAATACTCTCGTGGAAAATGAATGAAATCTGATTTGTCTACAAGCGAGGGAAGAAAGCAGTACATTTACTACTAACAAATACACACACATTTGATGGGAAGAGGGCACATAACAGAAACAAAAATCACATTATCCCAGATTCCAAAGTTTCCTTGCCACTGGTATCCGTAATTTACCTATCATCGTTTTTCCGAGTTTCACAAATAGAAACGAATATACTCGAGTTTGTAAGCATAGATTTTCAATGCATGTTGTGTATACCTTAAAATCCTTAAGACACATTTTTTCAAAATATTTTTGTATCAACTCTGTTAACATTCCAATATACTACCAGTATAAGGTAAGGTGTTCATACATCTTGTACCTAAACTATTCTTAGGTAAACAAGGAGTAACGCGATTGTGGAAAAAATTGATTCGAAACCAGGAACATTTGACAAAAATGTAAATAGTATATCCATTTACAGATATCCGTTACTACTCGTAAAATGAAGAAATTATTCTCAAGTGAAAACGTTTTAACGCTTATTAATGTGTTCGTAATTTTGAAACCGATGTTCCTAATTTTGCCGTCAAGACTGTAGTAAGAGGGAACCTCAATATGGGCTTAAAACCCATTCGTAGGCTATTAGCCGCAATTTTATTTTAAATATACACATTCCATCTGTGAAACTGAAATAATTAAAAAATAAACTTCATTGGAGGCCTTTGCGAAATATCACAAAAATAGGTTCGTTATATGCGTTCGTCGGCTTCCGCGGCCGGGTCAATCTTGGCTATCAGGGATGAGCCGCGTCTCGATCAATTGTGCTAACGTTTCGGCCATCGTGCTGTGGCCTTCATCAGAGCTACACTGCTGCAGCATTTAAACACTTGTAACAGTCTACATTTTCAGGCACAAGACATTATGACAGCTGAATTATAGAAAGACGATACGAACAAATATTTTAAATAATTGCCCAACAACACGCCGGACTCGTTATTGGTTTCCACATGCTTTACAAAACACTTAAATCTCATCTAAAATTACAAATGATTGCATTAGGAACCCTCTTTGGATTGATTCTCTAGTAGCCCCCATTGTTAATATGATTTACTATTTTATCTTTTCTTCCTAAAAGCATTTCTTGGGATTATATCTGTTTTTCATGATTTTATGTTCGTCAAAGTGCGTCAAAATGTTCAAAGTTGTTTTTACGTTTTTTTTCTTTAGCTGCCTTTGCTTGTAATGAAATTAATTATTTTAATTGCTCAGAATCAATACTCGGATAACACTTATTATGCATTACTTGTCTTGGCATATATTGCTACATATGTTTTGCCAAAACAACAATTACCAATTATGTAATGGTGAACATAGTACAATGTGTCGCATTCAATACTTATAGAATTTTCTTACCCTCTTGCTAATATTACTGCTCCTAATTATCATAATGGCGTCTTCATTTTCTTTTCTACTGATCATAAAACATACATCAATTTATTCAATTATTCATTCATTCAAACATATACTGAATAATTTTACTTCATCTTCACTCTTATTCATATATTATACACTCACAATGTATGTTTTATGATCAGTAGATATAGTAGACTATTACTAACATAAAGGATTAATGTAAATATAGAGGACATTGATTCATAAAATAAACTAGAATTCACACGTAACTTAGGTTTTCAATCGCTCAACACAGTTCAACTTAATTTCTTTAATATTTTCAACTAAAATTTAAGTTCAAACATTTTAAATATTTAAAAACCTATGAAATGAAGTCGCATAGATTCACTTAATATACTAATTGAATAGATTCTTTAATGTAATTAAATATGAATCAATTATATGAAAATAAATATTAATAAGAAAAGTCATGTATTCTTATTCTTTGGAAAAGCTGCTAAATAGCTGATTCTAAGAACATTTTATCTATTTTGAATGCTCGATTTGTGTCTCTATACTTCAATATACACTCTGCTTAGAATGAACATGAAAAAATCCCGTAGTGACATTCAGCAAGTAAATTCTACCAGGTAAATTTGTTAAGATTTGTTATGATATGCACAATTGTACAATGTTGAAGCGTGCTCTCTCCTCTATGAGAGTTTTAGCAACCACATGAAACAGATACAAACGAGGTGAGTGGAGTAGTAGGGGCAAGGGAGACGCGCGAAAGAAAACAGGGTGCAGGTTATGGAGCCGTCTTTCAGAGAAGCAATCTCGACAAGAGCCCCAAGGGAAGAAACCCAAGCACAATCAACCTGACGCCGGTAGCCAAGGAATTTCATGCCCGACGTGCCGGATACGTGGAACGGATTTCTAAGTACCTTTTCGTATCAGATCTTCCTACATAATAGACATATAAACACACTCGGTGGTTCTAACGGAATTGCATGATCGTAACGGCAGCAATGATCCCTATTTTGATCATGTAGAAAATGCGATTAAATTATACTTTAATTGTCTACGTGAACACTGCGGTTTCATATCAACCATGAGAAGAATCGGAAAATCTGGGCAGGTGACGCCCCAGTTTTTTATTTCGAGCTCGTAAAATCCGGTGTCTCGTATCTACTACACATTTGTATCATATATGTTTTAAAATTACATTCTAATAATTGCTTAGAGGAAACAATGAACACCGTCTTCTTCCTTTTATAACTAAGACACGGAGGCCTGTTCGACTTCATTCCATTAGTCTTCACCCGTCAGGATCTCTGCTTTCGATCTGCCGATATCTATCAGCTTGTGACGATGCCAAGTGTCATTCATCTGTTGGTGTTGCAACCATAAGGAAAGTGTGTCAAGAATTCTTTTTCACATTGCAAAAACCTTAAAATATTTTCCAAGTGCTTGTTATTTTTATATAATTTTTAACTGTTTAATACTCAGGTTATGAACCTAATGATTTTGTCAATTCGCACTAAGCGTATTCCAACAACAGAAAGGGGAAAAATATTGCCAGTATTGTCTTTATTCTGACGCTTTCATGATAAACATCTTACTTATTTACACTAACTGTTGAAAACATAAATTAAATCTCACTTAGAATTAAAATTCTTCTTCATCCATAGGGAAGTTCGTCCTCAGGTAGTTTTGATACTATCTATGGAATCTCTGAAGGAGTCTACGAGTTTACATATCTATTCTAAACTTAAATCGATATATTCAATTATTATATTTCGTTTCGTACTCTCACTATATAATGTCAATGTTCGACGATAATGTCCAAATATGTTGAAGCATTGGTATGTTCGTATCAAGTAAAATCAGGGTAATGCTGTATTTATGGCTTACAAATTAATTTTCTAAAGTTCTTTGCTACTTATTCTATTCATTTTTGCAAACATCATTGATATATGGTGCTAATTTTCAGTATTATATGTAAAATGTCAAAATAGTACTGATTTTATTAAATTGGTAATAATTTCTCAAACTCATGTACCAATTCTCATTTTAAGTAGAGGAAGTGAATTCATCAAATAATAGATCGATCAATGGTCGAAATTCCACAGTAATGTATTATTTATTTTTCATTTTCAACGTAATTAAGGTTATTTTGTTAATTGTACTGCATAACTATTGCAAATTGTATGAATAATCATAGCATACATTTTTTTGGATATTTTCTAATATCTCAACTGCGAGTGGTGTTTGCCTTAAATTCCTTCAATACCTATTAAATTTGAAAATCTACCTACGAAAATAGCATCACTGGGCTTCACGCCCCTTACGCATGGCTGAAAAATACAACGGAAACTGTTTTCGTTACCTCAACTGCTACACTGTTTCCAATATAGTGTAAGTCAGCTGTTATGTTAAGTGAAAAAATAATGCAATTACTAATTTTTGAAAACAATATTATTGTTCACGTGCGAAAAGTATTATTACAATTATTACTATTAGTAATAAAATGCTTTTCTTGAACACAAATACAAGTATAAAGTGAAATACTTTCCTTTTAAGTGCTAAACTGGCAATTGAAACGTATAAAAATGTCTCATTTTGTAGATTAGGGCGTAGAAAACCAAAATCATATCGCAATCTCGACGAAAATATTTAATTTATTCCGAAATTTCATTAAGTTTAAATATATTTATATAATCCTGGAATATGATAGAACACTGAATATCTAAAAATGTGAGTCTTCTCTTTCAGATAGGTCTTTCCTAGATTTCGATTTCCAAAACCTGACACACAAGAACTTGAAAAATTTCTTGATTCGAAAAGCTGGTTATAAATCTCTCACCTGCCCTTGCTTGAGCTCATTAACTTCCTCTGAATCTTCATCAACATTTAAAATTACTACTTAACACCTCAGCCCTCTTTCGACACCTTTCGTTTCCTATTGAAAATAAGCACGCTGCTCGATATAATCTAGCTCGTCCCTTTATTCGTGCTGGGCCGCCTGATTCTCTTGGACGTTTCGTATGCAGGGCATGAGGGAATCGCCTCCGTGCCTGGTGCGCAGCAGATCGTCGCTGAGTTGAGAAAAAAGGCGGCAGCGCCCCTTCTTCCCGCACATTAGTCTAAACTGAACCGGCTGAGATGCCTCAGGCAACAGTTGTTGCCACTGCAGCGTGTCTGACCGGGAAGTCCTAGGTTGAAGTCCCGACGGTGGCGGATCTTCGACTCTTGGAGATGGGCCGAATACAACAATTGTCTGGAAGAGAATTCTACCCGGCTGCTCTAATTGGTAGTTTATAGGGGTTTCTTCGATCAATACTCCAATGCTGAAGCAGTATCTTAACAAACGCGCGATCGTTCCTTCCTCAGCCTTGTCCCTTCCTCTACCCTTATGCACCTACGCTCACACGGAGACACATACTCGCAAGCACACGTACACACTAACACTTACGAGCACTAAACCACCACACACGTCGGGAGACCAGTCGTACTTAGGGATTATCCCGGTGGGTGCGTCGCCGGATACTTGAAGAGACGAAACACCCGCAAGCCGATATGTAGACCGGCGGCTGGTCTCACGTTCTAGTGGGGAAGGAAGACCGCCCTTTCTATAGATAGAAAATCAACTTTATGTGCGTAAATGATTACCGCACCCAGAAGTAAAAATAATCAATTAATGTGAACTGAAAAATGCCGAAACTCTCGCTTAGGCTAACAATTAAACAAATTCTTATTAATAAATATCAGTTTTAGACAATATCAAATATGTGGGACCTAAAAAAGTGTACTTTTATAAATGTTTACATTCAAAAGTGTATTTCAAAGTTGTTTTTCTAACGAAACATCTTCATGAGCTTTATCAGAAAAAAACACTAACAGTTAAAATGTATTACGACATACTTGAAGTTACATTTAAAGAAATGTATTTACTAAAAAGTAAATTACAGAAAAAAATCAAAATTTTTGATTCTGTGAAATATTTGGTATTAAATAGCTAAATTTATCGGCTCCATATAGTATGTTATTTGAAAGTTAACATTCAGTCACACGACGCTTTATTGTTTAAAAATCCAAATTCCTTAAAAAATATTTAATAATTATAAATATTTAGCCGACTTGGTTGGCTGAGGTGGCTAGGAGCGTGTCTCTACTCAGTGCTTCGATACAAACGGCCGCAGGTTTGAGTTCAGCCTTGGGGATAATTGTCTGTCCCATATCTCTCATGTATTTGTTGTCGTGGAGGGCTTCGCATTTTGCTAAGTTAAGATCAGAGGAGCCCCGCAAATGTGTTAGTGACTAGTGTCTGATAGAATATGCGTCCCATCGGGACTTAAATACAACCTGCGGTCGGCCGGAAAAAACCTAGAAAAAAACCTTAATTTTTCATTAAATAAATTGTGCTAAGGAAATTATAGTTAATTTTAGAATAACTGCATAGAAAATGTATATTTATTTTTACATTGGATGATTTGCGCGCACGTCCTATGCCCGCGCCGGAGCCCTTTCCAGACCACTGCGCGGCCGCCTGCCGCACGCATCCTGAGGCACGTGCTCCCGCGCACGACCGTGCGCACGCACACGAGATATAACGACGTGCCCTGCGCGCGCTGGGTGGGCGGTCGCGGCGCCCTGCCTGGCGCTGTTCCTGCCTTCGCGGCCTCCCCCCGCCCCGCACGCGCTCACGACCGCCTTCGCCGGACCCGGGTTCCCGCCATTAAATGGACAGCCCTCGAGCCTAGATATGCTCCGTTCGTTAAAGAAAAAGTAAAAAAAAAAATAATTTTCTTACACGCAGTTCTTGTGTTGTGGAGTTTGTCCCGGTCGAGTTGGTTTCCCGCTTACTGCAGATGCCTGGTTGGAGAAACCCCTGCAAGCCGACATGTAGGTCGGTGTCGGACCTCGCTCTCCAGATGGGGGCAAACATTACACCCAATCGAGTAATAAAAATAACGCACGGCATTTACAGGATTAATTATTGTAGTTGACGCGCCCGGAAATGGGTTTTTTTGGCGTATTTATTTTTCATTTATATAAACACCGCAGGCATTTCAGTCGTATTTTCTTATCTTTCTTAATGTTGTAATTTGTATTACTTAAAAAACGTACGAATTAAGGAAATTGTTTACGTTTCCTTTTTTCAACTCTCTGTTAATTGTGAACATGTTGCTGTGGTGCGAGGTGTTTCCATGTAAATGGGTCACAGTAGTTACTCGTACTTTGCTTATTAACATACGTTGGTTGCCTCCAATTTTGTGTAAGCTTTGATGGAAACAAATTTTGAAAAAAAGTCTGTAAAGAAATATGTTGATTTTTCGTTTGATTCGAGGCGGACATCGGTGAAAAACGAACCGCAGGTTTAATATGCGCGCGTCCGGAAATCATCCTTCTTCGCTCTGTTAATTCTACGTATAGTATCAGTGAGACGTCGGTTACATTCAACCATCCATCCTCACAATCCATCAATTTATTCACCTACACTTTCATTTATTCTCTCATTTATCCATCCTCCCAGCCATGCATCATTCCACCAATTACATGCAGGATTCGAATCTGCACTCTTCAGTTTCGTGCACTTGTACAATGTTCCAAGCCATCGAGGCCGGCTATTAATGGCACAGTTTTTGGAGACACCAGTCACGACTTCTCCAGTAGAACTTTCGAGCCGGTAAGTAACGAGCGTGTTTATTCGTGTACTCTTTCTCTATGTTGGGGAGAGGTGATATTTTTATTCCACATTTCTTAATTGAGTGGCGGCCTGGGTGGTAGAGAGCGTTGGAATTTTTATCGAGATGTCGGAGGTTCAAGAGGTTTGAAGCCCGCCATGAGCATGGAAATTTGTTCTTATATGTTACGGATCGAAAAGGCTCGACAGGAAAGTGGCTGCGCCGCATTATATGAGGCTACTTAAATGTAGTATAGGGTTTATCCACAACAACCAAATTCACCCATTTATTTTCAATAATGAGAGGTGGTAGGTGCATTCAAATGTTGTGTTCAAAATATGTTCTGTTTATAGAATTAACGTATCTTTTCACAGAAATCGTGATTACCTGACTTTCATAATTTAGAAATTATGAGCCTTCAAGTCCTTGCCCGTTTTGAGATGAAAATTGATATATTTTTAGATATGTTACTATGATAATATTTTTCTTGCAAAGGAATGAGCGTTTCTATAATAATACTTTTACTTTGTGAAAATGAAAAAAATGTTTGCTGATGTATACTTCTTTGAACGCGATACTACAACCATAAACAACTCTGCAAAATGTTTTTTTGGTTTTTTGAATCAAATAGAGTCTTGCTTTCCTAAAAAGCTTCTTCCTTTCCAAATTCGAAAATTTATCTACACCACATATTTTTTAATGAATGAAATTATGAACATCTGTGGCCTGGTACTCTCACTCACTACACTTAATAGCCACAGGTCACAAAACATTGCACAATAATAAACGCAAAAATAAACGCGAAACTGTACCACTAAACAATGGAATCCCTAAATTCCAAGAACACTTCGCGCATAGACTTGAAACAGGGCTGTAATATCAGACTATATTAGAACAAGGGGAAAGATAAATACCTAACCGGCAATATTGCACTGTTGCAGTTGCACAAATTATGTAGGCTACGTGAAACATCTTGGCAGCATCACCATTCCACCATTTCCATTCATCCGTCAGTTCTATCTTTTGTGTTAATCAGCTTGTCAAGTAATTTTTGCTTAACAAAATATTAAATACCATGTTACACTATACTAATATTATATTATAATTATATTATATTATATTATATTATAATTATATTATATTATATTATATTATAATTATATTATATTATATTATATTATATTATATTATATTATATTATATTATATTATGTTATATCTATATCTATATATTATTATTGGATAGTTATTGTATTGCAGTATACACATCGCCTAGCCTGCAGTGTTAAAACGTTTACTCCAGGAAATGGCGCCAGCGCGTTGGAAGAGGTGGCGCCCCGTGCACACCTTGGAGCGGAGGGGGGGGAGGCGTCCCACAATGCCGAGCACGGATGGCCAGTTAGCCGTCTGCCGCGATATTTTTAGCACGGTGGCGAACCAACAGTTTCTTCAGCCTTCCCGCTATCCTTTTCTCTCATTCGTCCTCACATCCCCCCTCTCGCGCTACTCCTTCGCAGTTTTCATTCTGGCAGCAGGTAGCCGCTCGCTCTGTGGTTGTCGCGGAGTTTGCCTACACGAATTAAAATTAGTTTGGCCAAAAGTGAGATTACGGCTGATGCTCGGGCACCGGCGAACAGCCAGAAACGGTGTGAGCGCGGCGAGGCGGAGCGGCGATTAAGGCGGCGGCAACGGATTTTTCGGCTACGGGGCGTGGGGGCGGGAACGGGCTAGCAGGGACACGGGAGGGTTATGAGAAGGACGCACGAGGGCCACGGGGCGCGTAGGTTGCGGGCGGCGGCCAGGTGGCCGGCAAGAAATGCGGCCACACGGGCATGTCTGCAGCACTGTCGGCCAGACCGAGCTCGGCCATGCAGCTCAGCGGCAACCTGCAGCGCCCACAACCTCGGCTCTCCGCCGCCGGCAGCCCCGCGCAGCCCCCCGCGCCGGCTCTTCCGTGTGTGGCTTTGGACAGATTCAATGCTCATTCAAGCGCCGGGTACGTCGACATGCCGTGGCGATCCGAGGTGATGACAAGCCTCCAGAAGAAAGGGGTCGTTCTGGAAGAAGAACGGCCTTCGAGAACGTAGGCGACAGAGACAGCCATATGTGTGTTTCCAACGTTCGGACGAACTTATCTCGTTTCTTAAGAGGTGGTCGCAGGCCGACGCCATGGGCGCCTGTCGCGACGCCCGGACGCGTGCCCGCGTCCCGACGCGGGATCCCGTGA